AGATGACAAATTTCCATAGAATTTTATCTAGAGAATTTTCGGTGGTAAATTCGCAACGCTACCTATAGTTTTTGATTCTAATTCCTATTGTCAGTAGCGCTACTGTATACCTATCCAAATCGGTACGGCAGAATACTACACAAAAATGGTAATAAAATCAAGTGACCTCTAAAACGTAGAACACAAAAAAAACATTGTGTACCATATTCTATTCAGTTAACGATCTTGTGGACAAAACAGACTTTCATTTTTACGTACATTATCTTTTATTTAAGGAAATATGAAAAGTTTAGATCAATCTATTAAATTTTTCTAAACTCTTTTTTTTATGATGATCATTTATATATCATAACATAAAACAATCTATTAAGAGGGCTGTCATTATTCTACTGATTCTATAGTTTCTACAATTATGTTTTACGATATCATTATTCATTATGATAGAGTTTAGAAAGTTTAGAAATTAAAAATTTTTTTCTCTATTAGAATAGAACTTTAGTCCAATTAAATGAAATTTTTTAGATTCAATTTACTTAGTTGAACATTAACTTTTATTATATAAATTATTGGTAATAGAAGAAATTCATGAATTTCTTTTATGTGTATATCCTTTAACATACCCAAATAAACAAACATACAAGATCTTTAAATTAGAAGTTTTGATCTACAATTACTAAAATATATGATAAATACATTTTTAATATTAAATGACAAGATTTAAATCTTGATCTATGTATATAGTTGTGATTAGGGAAAATTATCTTTTTTACAAAGTACATCTTAAAGATTAATTTTACGTAAATAATACGTAAGATGTTCAATACACATGCTCATTTATACAATATTATTATCTTATAATATTTTATGTATTTAAAATTATACGAGGAAGATATACATTAAATTATAATTTTAAATTTGAGATTAATAGCATGGAAAAACATTATGCATTATAAATATTGTAAAATTATTAAATAATATAATGTAATATTTAAATATCTTGCAACTTTTACTTATGTTCAGTAATTATAATAAAACAAAGACAATACTGATTAACAGAACTCTATAGAAATTAAACTATTATTAATTTATTCAATATTATTTTACAAACAGGAAAAGGTAAAATTGTATAGTCCTGTTAGAATGTATACAATATTACTAGGAGGCAACTACAACGTGATGCCTCTAATGTATTAAATATCTCCTGGAAAATTTCCGTTCTCAATCTGCTCCTCCCAATTTGTTACCCAAGCAAGTGGACACATTGCAGTGTATACTTTTTTAAAATATTTACATGCCTCATACTCTTCACTATGTCGTTTTTTGCAACGATGAAAATCCAAATAACTAGTGTAACAATATCTGTATTCAAAATAAACATGAATAAATAATCTCACATTAAAAGTTTATAAGCATTAAAATCCAACATCAATTTATTTTTTGTTTACCTTGTTTGGTTCTGATTTGGAAATCTTGGGTCATATGGTGCTGTGCTTGGTTTCAAATCAGCTGGGGTTTCTAGTGTTGTCGCATTTCCAAGTTGTGTATATTTAACCATATTGATTCTGCTTAACAAGTTACAAGTTATTTAATCTATTATATTTATTGAAAGTACTACAAACTGTTACCCTCCCTTTCTCCCACAAGGCAAACTCTTTATATGTTTGTCTCTCGCTTTAGTCCGTTTGTCTCTTGCATCACATAATACACTATCACAAACATTAATTGCTTCTGCACTACATTCTTGTTTTCATTCTCATATTACATTAATAATGCTCTTTAAGTTGAAATATTTAATAATTCGTGATACTATATATTTATAATTTCTGATTAACTGTACATTCTATATAGTAATTCAAAAAAGAAAACACTTTTTTATATTTGCATACATTTTTACAGAAGTTTTTTTTTATCAAATAATGAAGAGTATCGATAAAAGTTTCCATAATTTTAAATAATTGTACTGCATGTAGAGGTCTTTTCTAAAGTTGGTTAATAGCTATTCTTCTATATTTAAATGCAACGATGATGTAATTAACGAAACACAGCTTCTTTTGAAAGTACATTCATTGTAGATAAAACAAAGTAACAGAATGGAAAAAGATTGGAACTCTAAAATCAGCTATTTAACCAATGGTCTTGTGTTGTCTTCTTCCTGACAACAAACTTCTCTGTACTTTTTCACTTCAGCCATATAAAGTGACCAAGCATCCTTGGGTTGCTCAACAGTTTGTTCAGTCTTTGGCTTAGCAACCATTCCGGTTTTTAAAATTCTACCTCCTCGCCTCTTTCCTACTATTAAAGGTGGAGGAACAACAGTTTTTTCTTCTAAAACAGAAGTCGCCGATTTTTGTGCAGGTTGCATTTGTTCCTGCATTTTTTTAAACATTTCCATAAAGCTACCATCATTCTTAAAAGCATTAGATTGTGGAGGAACAACTGGTTGAGATGCAGTTGTTTCTATATTATCCTCAGTAACATCTGATTCATACGATGGTGCTCTATAGTATCTACGACTTTCTCTACCTCTATGTCTATCTTTACTTCTATTACGACTGCGACTACGTCTTCTATCTCTGGAACGCGATCTTCCTCTTGATCTAGATCTGGATCTATCTCTTCTAGAATATTTCCGCGATCGATCTCTATCTCTATCTCGATCTTTATCTCTATCAGGAGATCGAGATCGTTTATGTGATCTAGATGGAGGAGATTTTGAAGTACTGCGTCTTCTTCTACGTCTGTCCTGTGGTGAATCATTTCGGGACGTTCTACTGCTTCTATAGTCCAAAGGTGAAGGTGAACGACGTGACGACAATCTGTTTTTGTACCCATCATATGTTGTATAACTTGCACTATACATAGGAGGCGAAGGTGGAGCTGGTGGTGAATCTGTATTCGACTTGGAACTGCGTTCATGCCGTTTTGAATCCATTGTCGTGCTTGTATGCCTCTCTCGCCACGCTGAATGGACAGATGGACACCTATAAGGATAGAAACTGCCTTCTATGAGTACACTGCTCATTTCTTCTTACCACGCCTTTATCTGATTGGTAAAATGTACGCGTTTGCAAGAGACAAGCGGGTTTATAGCGAGAGATCAAAATATATTTTAATTGCCACTAATACAAATAAAATTCAATCGAAGCTAGAATTTTACCTTCAATAATTTCTATCTATGTAAACTTCACTTATTTCATTATATAATATATATTAGGAAATCCAGCTTTGATTGTACACTTATCTACACATATTTTAATATTTCACTATTGTACTAATTGCTGATAAATACTTATGTTTATATTTTCATAAAATAATTTTATACTGTTATGTAATTCTACAATTTTTATATTTCATTGTGTTATAATAAAAATTATATTAAAAAAAATTTGAGTAATTTCAATTATTCACGATCTATTTAAATTAATTCATAATATGTACAATGTTATAAATTATAAAGTATTCGGCACTTATATTTATTTTTAGGAAAATGTATGAATTATCGTCGGATATCTTCAGAATTAATGTTGAACATATTTTCAATATTAATCACAAAATTCTTAAAAATTTGGTCTTATATTTACGATGGAATGCGTATTTTTCTTTCGATACTCTGGAAAAAGAAATTGTCAAAATGGGAATCAAACAGCTTTATCCTTTCTGCTGAACGTTTTTAGAATGTTTTTAGAAAGTTAACAGTGAAGAAAATATAAAGGAGGATAAAGAAAAAGAGAAAAAAAGAGTGAATTTTGATAGAAGAATTAAATAAGAGTTTCAATTGGTATATAAGTTGGTTATCATAAAAAATATAGGTAAAGTTTCTTTAAAACTTTTCTAAGTAATTCATCGGTTATATTAATCGCCTAAATAGCCTATAATTACACGAAATATCTTTGTATAAAATACCTTAATCAGCCGTGCGATTGAAAACAAAATGGCCACTAGGCAAACTGCACCAAACTGTTACGTCATGTATATCTAGGACATTAAAACTGATTCTGAGATATATTTCTGCGTTTCTCCGATAGAGTTCGCGTGTAATCCACTTGCTTGTTGAATTTCTTTCTGAATATATTTAAATGAATACATAGAATGATATTAATCATTCAGACAAACTCTTGATATATAATATACATTATATATAAATCATTCGTTATGAAATTTTTGTAAATTACTAGACTTATTTGCATTCCATTAAATGAGTTGTGTCAAGAAGTATAAATAAAATATCAAAATCTAGGGAAAAGTAGATTTATAATTTATTTGAATCAATATTTTATTGCTAGACGAGTATGTATTTGTTGTCTTTTGAGCAAATGTATTAAAATAAATAATTCAGTTTAAAAACCAATGATATAGTTATTCGTGAAAATCATAATTTACTAACGACTACGTACCAACAGCTGAATATCATATTATTAGTGACAATCTAGAGAATTTTATTAACTTCTAATATTTCTAAACTTCCTTTCTCGAAAAATAATATTATTTGAAAATAACATTTTTCAATAGAATATTTTATATGTAATTAATTAAATAAGAAATATGAAAACTATATAAGAAACACGAAAATAAGCTAATAAAGGGATCTATTCTCTAGGGACATTTTTAAAAATCGTACGAAATTGAATTGCAAAAATAGTGCGTTAGGCATTTCCGTGATGGTGGCGCTTGTTTCGCCTATTCACATCCGGTCTTCCATTTTCTTTTGGTCATCGTCACACATGATTGCGTTCTTGTTGAGTAACGTTCGTTATCGATCTTGCGTTTTCAGTAAATTACTAAACGTTTGAATCGTTTACGAGCGTTCGTTAGCTGTACGTTATATATATCATCACAGAGTTTTTAATTCGACCACCGTATTTTGGATTATCGAGTGCTAATGCGTGGTATTTCAGAAAGCTCACCGACTCGCGCAATGGCGGAGGATTTGGATGTCGAGGCAATGCTGGAGGCGCCATATAAGAAAGGGGTAAGGCTTAATTTTTTTTTTCTCTCTTTTTTTTCTCTGTGTGTCTCGGTTTGCTCCTTCGAGATCCTGACTTTTTTTGTCCTCTGAAATCTACCTAATCTCGAACGCGCAAGAACAAATACGGTGCCGTACCATTCTGGGTATGTTTTGTCGTGTTGCGATCGAGAAAAATATGAATCGTCCTTCCCTTCCCATATATACATGTAGAACAAAGTACGCCCTTGTCTCATACCGACTATTGATCAATACCTCCGTTTTCTGTACTTATAGATGGTACGTAACATGTACCCTCGCGCTCGTAGGATGTTCGGCAGCGAGTTCCTAGAATGCACTTGAAATACGAGGTATTAAGAAAAGCCATCACTAACATCATTTTTACTTAATTCTTTTTTCTTTATTTATTTCTGATCTTTTTTTTTAATTTTTTTTTCTCAGAAATCGTAACGTTTATTATTTTACGACGTAGATAGAATTGCTACTGCCACTATTTTACGATTATAAAACGACAAAGAAAAATATATATGCGAAGTATAAAGATTGTTTATATTAATTTTATTTAAAAAGAAAAGAGAATAACAGACATGAAAGATGGATTTGTTAGGTGCTGTTCTGCCATGTGCCATGCTATTCCATTCATTTTTATAATGTTATTTACGCGTGGAAAGAACAAATCAACTGGTTTGTATAAGCATCGATTATCTTTTATATACAAAATCATCAAAATTATTGCCTATAGTATTTTTTACAATAGACGGGTATAATTTCTACTGATTGTGACTATCTATTATGTATCTTTTGTATTGTTAGGTGGGACTATAAGGTATTTTTTCGGATTTTAGAATTTCGAGCACTTCTACATTGGCTTTGTTTTCTTTCAATTCATCAGGAGTCTTATTTATAATCATGTATTGATTCTCTTTTTTGAGAAATTATGTGTTGGTGCAAATATTTAAGAAAGTTAGGAAGATATTGGTATTAATAAAAAACTGTATCTTAATTGCTATTAATGTTTATGATATTAAATTATAATTATACACATTGTATAAGAGCTACAGTATAATTCCTGTTAGAAGTTCTACATGTTTTGCAGATAGGGATAAGTGTAACAATCAAATTTAATTTATTTAGCAATCAAAAATTGCTGAATGTTTAAGTATGTATTTTCAATGTGTAAAATATGTTATTGAAAACTTTTAAAAATGTATATTGTCAAGATGTTTTTCAATCATATGGTGGACTTTTGTTTTTAACTATAGCATTACAACTAAGAATATTAGTACATTAAGATGCTTATGGTGTTCTCATCTTTTGTAATTCTTATAATTTTTCATCAACATAACATTTTAAAGTTAGAAGTGCATATTGTACTTCACACAGAAAAATGCATGGTAAATTGGCAAGCAGGAAATAAATTATTCAAATGAGAAAATGTTTTAAAATTATGCAACAAAAATTACTGAAGAATTGGTAATTATTTAGAGGATCAATTTTATTGATAGTAAAATTGAAAGAATAAAACATCAGTAACATATACATGTAACACCATTGTCATCATTCCATTGCATTAATGCCATATACCATGTGTATGTTCGCTCGTGTGAAACATTTTCTCTATACAGCTCTAAATCATCTTGTGATATATCTACTGGAAGCTGCAAATGATTGTTGATCGTTTTGTGAATTGTGATATAGTTAAATCAATTATACATGCAGGGGCTGTAGGTTAGCAATTAGGGTTCACATTTCGTGTTACATTAAAAACGTACTGTCTTTGATGAGGGCTCTCTTTTGCAGAAGAAAAAGGATGTGTGGTTGGCCATTGGTAGTTTAAGACCAAGGCATGCTCAACCCAAGATTGCAATGCTTTCCTAAAACCCGATAAAACGATTGGTAAGTTTGAGCCAGGTGTATGCGAGGCGTCGCAACACTATGCTCGCCCCGTCTCTCTCTGTCTCTCTCTCTCTGTCTGTCTCTCTCTCTTTCTTCTCTGTGTCCTCATCTCAGCCCCCTCCGACCGATATAATCTACCTGGAAAAAGAGAAAGAGCACGAGAGTGCATCACCGCCCGACAGCAATAAATCTTCGTTAACAGTGTTCAAAGGAATTATCTCTACATGGTTACAGAAAAAAAAGAAAAAGAATTTTAAACAGAAGACAGAACTTCAATTATTGAGATACATTTTATTTTGAAACTATTGTCAAAATTTAAATTGTACAATATGTACACAGTTTTGTCTTTATAAAATTTACTAACGTTCTATGATTTGCTTTTTGTCCCCTTGTTCGCGCGTCCCTGCCACATCGACTGGCTGGCATGGCATTCAACTGTTTGCTGTTCGTAGGAGCAGGACTCCTCATCCAAAGACAAATCCTCCAAGGAGAATGGGTCTAGCCGTAAATCATCTGGGTAGGTGTATTTTATATGCTACAATTAATACTAGAAACATAATTTGTGCTCACTACCAAAATTAATATTTTAATCGTCAAACCTATTAAAATCAGTAATTATGTTATTTCTATAAATAACAGTAAATGACCTTATATATATGTAATATTCGAACTTCATATTAGAGAATGATGATAAACAAAAATAATAATTTAGCATGTTCAAATGTATACCCTTAATTTATCACTGATTTTTCGTACAAATATTCGTATCTGAATCAGTATTTTTTTGCATCTTTTGATGTAAAGTTATTGTCCTATTTGCTGTTTGTATCATATAAAAATGTGTAGCTTATCTGGATTAGCCAATAATAGCAAAAGTCGTTACGTATTTAAATTACTTGTCTAAAAATACACTAGATAAAAATGGTACGGAGCACGAAATAAATAAATTAGGTTTATTTTGTTTATTATTATTATATAATATTATAATACATTTTTTATTGACTAAACAGAAAAGCAAATTTGCTGATCTGATAAAAAAACAATGAAAAGAAAATAGATTGGATTTTTAAGTCTTTGTTTTAGATGAAAAAAGGTATCTATAGTTAAAAAATTTTATGAATTTATTCAATTTTTTTATATTAGTTTTATATTAGTTTAAAATTAAATTTAATGCATGGTTCATAATATGATAAAGCACATGTGTTCATAAATAATTTACTTTGTCTGAACCTTTAGCATTATAGATATTGATATAATCATTCAATTGTATGTGAACATTTCAAATTAGTCATTTGGTACGTACATATAGCTATTTGAAGTTATATTCTCTTTGTTATAGACCCCATACAATTAGTGTAAATGCTGGTTATTTTCATAATTCCAAAGGTTAGACCTGAAGATGGTAAGTATTTAGGCAGAATATCTGTACTATACAGATTATATTAAAAATCTGGAGTGTAACAAAAAAAATCATTAAACAGAATTAAAAATAACAATTAAAACATGCAATAATAACACTTGTACAGATGTTATATTCTACAATATATTGATTAAATTATTTTTATCACATGTGTACGTGTGATTTAATTATACATACAATAATTAATTATGTTAATTATTAATATTACCATCATTTACTTTTTTGATTATGTTTATCAGTTAAATCATACTGTGGAAAATGTAAGAAGAAACTTTCTTATTACTAAGGGTTCGGATTAATAAGTTGAAATATTATAGTGGAAATTAAACTTAAAATAATTGAGTTTAATTCATTATTTATTCAAGCACTTATTGTACATACACATATATCATACAGTTAGTTCATTTAAAAATCTTTTAATATGTATCATTGGTTTCCTTTTTTTTACAGGAAGAGCAAGCATCGTTCTCGTTCTCGTTCTCGATCACGAGATCGTCGGGAAAAAGATCGTCGCGATCGCGACCGAGATCGAGACAGAGATCGAGATCGTGACAGAGACAGAGATCGCGATCGCGACCGTGATCGGCGACGTAGATCGAGATCAAGAGATCGGAGAGACCGCGATAGAGACAGGGATAATAGCGATAGAGATAGGGATCGACGAGATAGAGACCGAGACCGAGACAGAAGAAGGAAACGATCTCTTACACCAATTACTCTTCCCAGAGCAAGACTACCATTTGGAAAGGGCGTCAGTCCCCTTGGCATGTAAGTCTGCATATATTCATCATTTGGTTGAAAACGAAATAATTCAAGAATATGTTTCAAAATTTAAAATTTGCATAAAAAATTTTGTTTTAAAATTTAGGATTTTTTATATACATATATTTGTTTAATGTTGTAAATAAATTTATAAATGTTAATATTTTTAATTCTTGTATGTGTTATATTTTTGTATATGTCATTTTTTAGCAGAAATGATGAGCTGACACCAGAGGAACGAGATGCCAGAACGGTGTTCTGTATGCAATTAAGTCAGCGTATACGTGCTCGAGATTTGGAAGAATTTTTTTCCAGTGTAGGCAAAGTTCAAGATGTTCGACTTATTACATGTAACAAAACGAGAAGATTTAAGGGTATTGCATATGTAGAATTCAAGGATCCTGAAAGTGTTACATTGGTAAGTTAATATATAATTTATATAGGATAAATTAAGTTTATTCTTATAATTTTTTTTATTGTTCTGACAGGCACTTGGTTTATCAGGCCAGAAGCTTCTTGGTGTTCCTATAGTAGTACAACATACCCAAGCTGAAAAAAATCGCATGGGTAATTCCATGCCAAACCTAATGCCAAAAGGTCAGACTGGACCTATGAGGCTATATGTTGGATCTCTACATTTTAATATTACAGAAGATATGCTTCGTGGAATTTTCGAACCTTTTGGAAAAATTGACAACATTCAACTGATCATGGATCCGGAAACTGGTCGAAGCAAAGGCTATGGATTCCTGACTGTACATATCAAAATATCTTATAGATTATTCAATTATAATATTAGTATTTTTTTTTGAAATATATTTACTTTTATTACAGTTTAGGAATGCTGATGATGCAAAGAAAGCTTTGGAACAGCTGAATGGTTTTGAGCTTGCTGGAAGACCTATGAAAGTCGGTAATGTCACAGAACGTACAGATCTAATACAAGGTCCATCTCTTCTTGACACAGATGAATTAGATCGAAGTGGCATTGATCTTGGTGCCACTGGAAGGTATAGAAATGTCAATAATTTGTTTGATATTTTAATAAATTATTGATTAATATTTAAAATCCTTAGATTACAGCTAATGTTCAAACTGGCAGAAGGAACTGGACTTGAAATTCCTCCTGCAGCTGCGAACGCGTTAAATATGGCTCCAGTTATGTCGACGCCACAACCACCTCCACAAGCTGCTCCTCCTATAGCGACACAGTGCTTTATGTTATCGAATATGTTTGATCCGCAAAAGTAAGTTTGTGTAATTTCTTAAGTGTAAAATAGGCATATCTGTAGACCTAGTAGATTACTTTTTCTTTTACTGGGGGAACGAATATGCTATATAAACTGTGTTAGCTAAAAAGAAAAAACTGCATATCATTATATGTATGTTCAAAACTGATAACATAACATTACATTAAATAATTATAATTTAATAGTTATGCATAGATTATATTCTAACACTAATCTTTCGTTTCAGTGAGACGAATCCGAATTGGGCGAAAGAAATTCGTGATGATGTCATTGAAGAATGCAACAAACACGGTGGTGTGTTACATGTGTATGTAGACCAAGCCTCTCCTCAGGGTAACGTTTATGTTAAGTGTCCGTCAATAGCGACAGCAGTTGCAGCTGTTAACTCGTTACATGGTAGATGGTTTGCTGGCCGAGTAATTACAGCCGCTTACGTGCCAGTTGTAAATTATCACTCGTTATTCCCGGACGCGATGACGGCTTTACAATTACTGGTTCCGAGCGCTCCGCGAAGGGGAATGTGATCTTGAACAGTGCAAATGCCAATTACAAATGTGTAAATTCTTATAGTATTACATTTTTCTTACTGATACTGAAAATAAATTTTTGTTACTATACGAAATCATTTAAGTATCGTTTGAAGTCATACAGGTGTAATTATCAATTACAAAACAACGCATGATGATACATCTGCGTGAGATGTATCATCCTTTATTTCATTCATTTATAAAGATAATAAATATTTTGTTTGTAAGATGTTCTCATTCGATATTAAGGATATTGACCAATTAATACGCGAAAAAATTATTCTCAAGATACTTTATTAATATATGAGAACAAAATAACTCTTTGAACAGTTGTTTATTGATATAGTATAATGATTTAAGAATATTTATGTGTATTGAATTATATTTCAATAGATAGAGTATAAAACAAAATACCGAAAAAACTTTGTTGCCTTATTTGTTAAATATATTATGCAGCAGGTTTACATAAGAATTCCTTATTATCAGTCATCTGTAATAAAGTCGAAATGATTAACCATTCTTGACGCTCAACTCTTTGCGGTACGTAGTATCTTCAAACTTTCGTTCCATCCTATGCTGATTGCTTAACAAGATTTTTTCTACTTGGAACTTCATAATTCAAACATGTTGTATAATCGTTGTTTGCTTTGTAGTTACAAAATAATAATTTTTTATTTAACTACTATTATTGATTATTAGATGGCGTTATATTTTAATCTTACACGGAAATCATCGATCAAATGTAACAAAATCTGTATAGTCAAACAATCTACAATAACAATATTACTGAAATCAAAATCATTTCAAATAGACAACACATTGAATCTGCTGGAACGAAGTGGAGGTGTTACTCGATAGCCGCAAAAGATTAATACAATAAAAGTAAAATTTAAGTAAATTGTAAACAAAAGTAGAAAGATTAATAGATTGTAATCCCTGTGCAAATATGTGTTGAAGGTGGTAATATATAGATATAAAAAATATAGACTTTTCTTTAAAACTTTGTGCACAGTTCAGAAGTTCTTTCTTGAGAACACGATAGATGTGATAAATAGAAAACATTTTTTAAGGAGGAGTCTGCAGGTAATGAATTTCTTCAACAAGTGTATTTAGTGAATGTAATAATATGATAAGTATAATTCTTAATATTTTCGAAGAAATAAAAAAAAATAAAACTAAAGATTGAGGTACTAATTTACATGGTAATTCTTCATGTATATGATGGCCTTCTAACTATAGAATAATTTGAGTCAGTCTAGTTTTTAATTGTGCAACTTACAAGAATGTAAGTATGCACATCTTTTAAGAATTATATCTATTTAGGTACAGACTTCTAGCATTATGAAAATTTATAAAGCATTTTAAAAGTTTTTTATAATTTTAGAAATGGTTTTTTCAAACGTTTGTAACTGTTATATATCCGGCAAACTATACAAAAAAAAAGAAAATTTCTTTTATTCCTGCAGACTTCTGTTAATTTAAAAAAATCTATTGTATGTAAAAAAATTGTACATTATCACCGTTCATTCATATTTATGATAATACTACTGCAGTTTCATATTATTGTGAAAAGTGAATGTATACTTTGATAATTATAAATTAAAAAATTAATGTGATAATACCATGTGAATGTGAGATCCTCTTTTAGAATACAAATGTAAATGCGCAAACAATATTTCTTTGACATTCTCTTATATGAGAATTTGAGTGATAATTTAAGTGAATTGTAGTACATAAGATTTTCATTTCTTATTTTAGAATAGAATACAAAGATTATTTTTTAACTATTCACTATACGTATCTACTTAGATTACAAATACTATTTTGGAAAACACCGAAAAGTAATTTTATTGTATACGTTTTATAAAAATTCTATGAAGTTAAAATTATTATTTAATAAATTAATATTAATTAAACAGTGTATTTTATACTTTGAATATACAATATTCCTTGGAAGAAAAAATGAGATAAAAGATACATTATTTAAATAAATTAAAAAAATGTCAATGATATGTACATATTTTTATTTTAACCACTTCAAATCAACACACAATGCTATGTGATCACTTGGTGACACCACAGATGGTAGACCGGTATATGCACTAAGTTCTTCTTTACTTGGCATTGGTATAACTTGTTCAACTGTTAAATAATCCGTTTGATAAAATATATAATCTAAACAACCAGAGAAGGTACCTGTATAATTTGTGTATTCTGGAGTACCACATGCACTAGATAAATTTGTGTCATGTTTAATACACACATTCTGAATTTGTTCTTCAACATCTGTAATAAAATAATAGAAAATAATTGTTATTAATCAAAATTTATATAAACAATAAGACTAACCAGATTTCCAATCATCGTGATCTGCTGGTATATATTTTTCAGTCATTAATTTATAAACTCCATTATTTGGAACACTATTGAAGTCACCACAATATAAAATACTAACATTGCATTCAGGATTCTGTAAGTTTTTGATTTATTATTAATCGTATTAGACATTTTTTCATTTGATTAATTTTGTACAAATACCTCTTCTTTTATTTTTTTAGCAAATGTGCGTAAATATGATAAACCATAATATGCTTGTAATAAGCGTATATGATCGGCTGTTATCCGAAAATATAAATGTGTGTTGCCAACAATTAAAATTTCAGAATTTTCTTTGGATCGAAGTATTATTGTCTACAATAGATTATATTAGAATTAATTACTTTTCAGAAAATCGTATTTAATTATTATATTATGATTATATTTAATAATAAAATGTAATTATTTTATTCTAGTACCTGAATAATTGTATTTCTGTTTAAGAATGTTTGCTTTACATTGTCGTTTTGAATTTGCGACCAAATAATGTTAAACTCATCTAGATTTGTACCTTGACAAATAACACTGTAATCACAAGACAATTTATCAAACCTGTCCTGGTTATAAAATATTGCAAGGCCTTCCCGCATATCATTCTTTAAATTATATATACTACCATAATTTAAGGTAGTTAAAGACAACTGTAGGTCATTTGCATAAACTGAGGCATCTACTTCTTGAAGACATATTATGTCACTATTGTATCCTGCAAGTATTCAACAATACCATTTATATTTAAAATTTATCAATTTAAATTTATTAATAATTTAAAATTTATTTATTTAATTTATTGGTAATTTAAAACGCTACGGTAAATGCTAAAAAAAAGGAATACCTATTAATTCTTTAAGAATTAATAATTTTCTATAATCCATAGATAAAGCATAATGTGGACAATATGGATATAAAGTTTCCTTAGACATAGCAGTTTCCGCGTATACATTTGCCAATATGTTGTACGAAGTTACTCTGAAACTGAAATTTCATTTCAATAATTATGTAATAATTTTTGTGACATTTAAAATGAAGAAATTAGAAATTACTCACCTTTTATCTGACAATTTATTTTTAGTAAAAGCGTGTCTGGCATTAAAAGGACATACGCCTGGTCCAATTTCTACAGTAGCATTTGATATGCTCTCTATTATAGGACCACATTCTTCACTATTCTTTGGAATACATGATACTTTTAATTTGCATCCTAAATCAGATGTACTTGGAACGTATAAAAATCCTTCCCCTACATGTTTCCATTCAGATTTTGGATTTTCACTTCTGTACCAATTAACAATTGATTTTAATTTGTCTACGTTTGTTCCTTCAAATTTGGAAGGATAAACAGGAAAATCAATTAGAATGCTCGACGGTAATTCTATTTTAGTAATAAAAGGTACATTCTGTCTCAAGATATATTCCGTATCACAAATGACTAATTTTATGTCTGGTAAATCCTTTAAAATTGATTTACATGTAAGATCACCATTAAGGGCAGAGTGATTTCTCATAAATTTTATATCATTTTCAACATCAATTTTTAAATCTTCTAGAGAAACTGCATCTGTTTTCTTTTTTCGGTACGTTCGTTTTGTTATATAGGAATTAATATTCTGACAAATTCGTTGAACAAAATTATTTATGGTTTCATCCACGTGCCTTCGAAAATTGAACTGTCTATCGATATTTAATATGGGATTAATGTAGCGGAATGACATGTTAAAATTGTCATTTCCTTCTTCGTAATGTAGAATGACTTCATTAGCGTTTAATCGCATTATTGGTTGCGAGTAATTTTTCAAAATTTGTTGATAAACTTTCGGTTTCGATAAAAAAGAGGTTAAGCACCTTGAATGTAAATTATGAAACAAAATCGACATTTTACAGAAACATGATCTATCAGTCTTTTAGTATAGTATATTTTGTAATTTTTTTAGAGAAATTTTAATTATTTATTTAAATATAAATCTTACAAACAATAAGAATAGGTTTAAATAATAATAATCACAATTCCAAATTATTACTGCTCCAATAATAAAATGTGTAACTACTGAAGTGTCATCTTTCGTCACGAAACGAATTCAGAGTTATACAATAAATTTTCATTTGCAAAGAAACCTAATTCATGAACTTAAACTGTGAATTTTTGAATCTTCTTAATTAGGTTCTCAGCTTTCTTGCTACATCCCTTTGGAACTAAAAAATACAGAAATAAGAATTTTAAAAATTTACTAGTATTACTAAGTTATCAATAAAAATTCTTTGTACTAGTTTGCAAAATATAGTGATCAAGAGGAATAATTTATCAATTTTTTGTATGCGTCTGTAAAATTCAATGCTTTGTATTTCTTTCCATATTTTTTTTTATCTTAGAAAATATGCATAAAAAAATTTGACATTTTTATTTAATAAATCGAAGTGTGTCCTCGTCACTCACTACTGCTTTCCTTGTCTATCACACGATATTGTCTGCTTTGTTGCACACTATTGTGCTCCTTGTTTAACGATAGTGCTGCCACCTAAGCCACTCTAATTTTAAATGCAACTAAAAATGTAAATTGGAAAAATCCGGTAGATGGCAGCAGTCACACTGTCTGACAAGGAAAGCAATAGAGTGCAACAAGGATAGATACATATACGTGCGATAGATAAAGAGAGAAATAGTGTGTGACAATGATAGCAGTGGATTTTAGTTTCACTTTTTCACCGCTATGTGGCGCTAGCATTTTAGTGTCCATAAATCGCGCTAATTTTCAATTACAACAAGAACTTCTTGTTTAAAGGAATTAATACTAAAAGATAAAATTATTTTCAACTCGTATTCAAGCCTATCATCAATTGATGCTGTGCTTTTTAAATTCTGCTATTTCTTTAGTCACATGAGCATAGTTCATAATTTGATGAACACATTCATTTAGGATTTTTGAACTTTGTACCAATTTTATTTTAAATTCATGAACAAATACTTAAATAATGTATTTTAAACAAGTTTATTATGGAAGAAAATACAGTAGAATCAAGTAAAATAGTAGAATAGCTTAAGACTACTGATAACTAAGACTTATACTACTTACGAATGTCAAATGAAACGTTGACCTATATTACTTGCCCCATTCTGGCCATATATTGACATATACTACTAGTTGATATCTAGCCGTACGTTGACTTTGCTACTTGCAAATAGTAAAGATCAAACACATGCGAGAAGTATATGGTCAGAAATCCACAAGGGCTCTTCGTTACTCCCTTTCATATATTTAATTGTTTAGTCGTAACAGAAAGGTTGTCAAAATTATTAAATAATGTTTGGAAATGTTTTTCTATTTTCTATTTTGTATATTATTTGACAGTTTTAACTATTTACTTATAATTGAATCAATGATTGAATTTCCTTATATGTCCACGCATTATTTCATAGTTCGAACAATTCATTTATAACAATTAAATTATTTTATTTACAATAACAGGAAAGATAGTTTATACATATATTTTTTGCTCTCTGAAACAATAAACGAGCGAAAATTTTTATATGTTGTATACGGTTATTCTGAAGCGACGATCATTGCTTAATTTCATTTTTGACTACATAATTTTTCTGTACGCAAACTTTATTTAATATAGATCAATGCAGTTTTGATTACAAAATTAATATCATGAAAGTGTAAATTCAGTGTTCAACCGGTAAAAAATTAATAAGTTATTATATTTTAATATTGTAATAAATTGTAATAAATTCATGGAAGTATAACTTTGCAATAAAAATGTAAAAATGATTAAATTATTGATTAGTATAATAGAAAAACTGTTTTTTGAAATATTAACTAAAATTATCAATTGTTCTGCATCGTAGACGATCGACATCAGATTAATCTTGACTTGGTACGGACACAAATTAAAATATTTCGTAGCAAAACGATACACCAATGATATTAAATTTGGTCATTAAATTTGAAATACTTAACATCTTGTAATCGAGCATTCTCACAATTATCGCGTTAGTGTCACGAATTTCCTTGTTTTTTTCCTTCGTAAACGATTGATAGATCGAGTCATTACATTATTTATCTCATTATCAAATTTGTTCTCGACAGGCAAATATCTATATGAAACATTTAGTGTTGCAATGAATCATGTAACACGACATGATAATATATACGTTTTTCTCTAACTCACATCAGTGAAATATTATTTGCTTTCCTACAATAAACAGAGAATTGATTTTGCTTGAAAATAGATCTGTGAAAGATCTTTATTTAAATTGGAACAGAAAAATGAGATTATACAATATTAAAATAAATAACAAATATAATAACAAATAATGAGAACAAATTAGACAAACTCAATAAATAAATAATAAATAATAAATAATAATAAATAGTGAAAATAAATTAAATGGATATCAATGTTAGAATGAAAGATAATGTTTAAAATAATATTTTAATTTTCCATATTGTGCAAAACGATATTTTTGAAATGTTATCGCATGGTGTACAAATAAGAAATGCACACTTTCGAGAAAAAAAAGTATATTTTTATCGTTCATCCAATAAATATGCGATAATGATAACGAATATATGTATATGTATATGTAGAAAATGCTTTTCACAATATGATAAAACGTCCAAGTATATGCATGTAAAGAATCCAAACGGTGTCATCGCGATAATGCAATCGCGAAAACAACGAAGTAAAAGGAAACGGGCCAAGAAATTCGGAAACCAACCTGTTAGTGTCAACGAACTAATCTCTGTTTACGTAGAATACTAATTTAAGAGATTTAGTCAGAGTTAAAGTACCTGTGAGCCAATCAGCTAACCATATCTTGGGTTTCATTTCCTCCAAACAATATTATACGTTTCCTCGGTATATATTTCTTCAATAATTACGGTTAACTGCAAATTATACATTTTTTTTTTTTTTATTCGCTGTATATAAATAGATTCAAAATTCTAAGTTAATTCAAACTTGGCGGGAAATTCGTTCAAAGGCCAAGAAAACATAGAAAACAGAACAAATATTTCTCGAATTAAACGAATGACTGTACAAATGTTATATTGCAAGGAATCGTTGAATATGAATTTCAGTAGTTCTCGATTATTTTACATTACAATTACTGTTACAAAATATGCTCTGTGTTTATTCAATAAAATTTTAAAACTGCACTAAGTGTCCTCAAAATATCATTATCATGTTTAGTTAAATTGATTTCTAAATGGTTTTCCGTTACTCCAGATTTGAACGTTGTTAGCGCGTCGGCAGTCAAAGTAATTTCTAACTGATTCTCCGTTATTCCTGAAATAAAACAAATATTTGCTAATTTTCTATGAATACTATTGTTGTTTATATAAGTACGATTTTTTGAACGTTAATTCCTTATTTTAATAAATAGTTCGCTTTTAAAACTCTGTTTGCTATTCGGTCTCAATTTATCGCGTAAGTATTCGATATTCAATCTTTGTTTCCACTTTTGAAGGTTGAAAGATCATGTGGTTCGAGTCAACAGAAGAAGACTATTTAATTTACTTTTAATCGTTTTTTTAATTGGAACAATTAATTTTGCACCATACTGTATTCAATGTACTATTACTTTGATTCCTGACACAAATAATGAATAATAAGTAACAAATAACAATTAAAATTGTATATAATAATTCGTCCACAGAGATGTTCCATCGTTAACGCATTTCCATCGTTTTGACATTGTAGCAGGTTAATTGCGGACACCCGATATATAAGAACAGGCCAGTCGTTTGGCGAGGCACAACGAGCAGTCCGAGCCCGATGGGATAGGTAGTATAAACCGATTCTCTGGTCTAGTGGCGTGTAAGATCTCGACAGGAGAGAACGTGCCAAGTGCTAAGTAGAAGCGACGCGACATGCTGCATTAACCGCGACCGGAAACACAGAAACCACCGTAACTTTTCCTTTCTTCGGTCGCTCGCGGGACAATTACCGCGAAACCATCCGATTCAACAATCTTTTTCAGTGCCAGTTATGCGATTGTTCCTCTGAACATTGTCCGCTATTCTATGAACTTCATCATCCAAAAGTTGCGAAGGTGAGTGCGATTAGTATTAAGATAAACTTAAAAGAAGTTGAATCAGTTGAAAATTCTTCAATTTCAATGATCCAATGGTATTAACTCGTATGATTGTTGAGACTTATGCATTTGTATGTAATTTAAAGATGCAATAACGCAGATACGTAAAACATCGGATAGATAGAGTGCTTGTAATATTCAGCAATGGAAATAAAATTTCTGCTCCATTTCTTTAATTCTGTCTCCGTCTCTTTAATTCTACGCTCCGTTCCTTTAATAGCGTTCATTTAAAAAAAAAGTAGGAAATTGCATAAAGATTCGCAGTTTAATGGTAGTTCAAAGAAAGAATTTCGTAGTTTAATAAGATCGTAGATATTTTAAGTGGAATAGAAAGAAGAGTTTGATAGATTCGAACGATTTCGCTGTTCCTCCACGTGTCTTGTGTAAATTTTCCGTCTTACACTAAAAAAGCCGGTGAGTTATATATTTGTTCTTTTAAAATTGACATTGGCAAAATAGTCGTTTTTTTTTTTTAGTGTTGCAGCGAGCTATTCTTTTAATATGAAACTTCTCTTTTTCCGTCGATTTTTCGTCGCTTTTACAAATTTATATTAAGACGGGAGCGCGATTGAGATGTAAAAATTCAAGATCCCTTGAATATATTATGTTTGACGATATACTCATGTTTTTTTTTAACGTAATATTATAACATAATGTAATATAATTGCTAATAACAGATTCATAACGGTTGTTGCATCATATATTCGAATGTATTTATGTATTTATGTCTATCCATGAATGAACTATTTTTCGTTTGATTATCTCAACGTAATATATACATACGTGCATGTATGGGTTTCGTGATTGGTAATATTTGTAGCTACATGTATTATCTCATTTTAGGTATTCAGACATATTATACTATGCACTAATACTACATTAAAGTAGAAATTTGAATTAATTGAATTTATTAAAGTAGCTGCTTTGTACATTATTTATAGTGCCTAGATATATCTATTTAACAATTAATCCTTTCTCCAAGTAAAAAAAAAAAAAATAATATAACTTGAACTTATAATTTGAATTTATTCATAATGACGAGACTCGTAATAAGACGTATTTATAAAATACAATACATGAATCAGGAAGATTTCCGCGTGATTAGTTAAAGATCTTTCTGTAATATTCTCGTAGCGATAACTTGAAAATCGCGTTCTTTTGAGTCGTATCATTTTCATTATAAATAAGCGATTTGAGAAAGTGATGATGAAGAGTCGTAATTCGAGTTCTTATCATTTTGATGATACTAACCAGAACAAAACGTATTTGGCCGAAACAGCTGCCACTTAGGTGCCGATGCCGAAATTGATAAAAAGGTTTTGCAAAAAGTTGCATTTTGAATAAAAATTAACTGTAATTCTCTGTAATTAGCTATTTCGATTAATCTCGTTTTAGAGATGTACAACGCTGCAGCAATACGTGTACTTGTGTTTAATATAAAGTTTAATAACATAAGTATAACACTTATGTTTAATATAATAATAAAGCGTATCAGAATGTATATATGATGACTGATAACATTTAATTGAAGGACTTGAGTAGCTATATAATATGTATATATTATCAGTCAGTTTTATCGACGAACAAATAATTTATTGAAAAGATTATAAAGCAGATAAATAATTGATTCGAAAAATCATTCAAAAATGAAAT